AATGGCTCCCATTTGATGTAACCATGGCGTCCCCAAAATCATGTTGTAAGCTGGGAGGTCTTGGACTACATCGAACCTGATCTGCACATTAAGACCGTTAGCGTAAACAGGGAGAAAGATATTACCTATGGTTCGGCTTGGCTCTCCATTGAAACCGACGAGGGTAGATCCTGATTTTGCTATGTCATCCTCTTTGACTCCCATCTGCTCCAGCATCCGCATGGTAGTTATGTTGGTCGTGCTTCCGTTTTCAACAAGGACTCGCTTCACTTCAAAGTTCGCTACTCTAAGGGATATGACCAGAGTGTCATGGTGGGGTTGCATAGGATCTGGCATATCTGACTCGTCGAAAGCAATGGCAGTGTTTCTCCAGTCGTCACGTCGTCTTTCAACTTGGCATACCTGCAATGACTTGTCTCGGGAATACTCGCGAGCGTGTCTCTTGGCAGCAGAATACATTAGCCCACATAAATCCGACCCGCCATTAATAAAATTAATTACCTGACAGGGAGCCGAAGGCGATGGAGGTCGTGTCGCTTTAGTTGACGGCTTGTCAGTTCGTCCTAAAAGGGCTTTAGTCCGTTCTGACATAATTTCTGTCAGATATCCGTTCTTCAAAAGATAAGCGACCTCCTTTCGCAATGCGACGCAGTTCTCGGTGTTGTGCCCGATGTCGTTGTGCAAATCGCAATGTTTGCTCGGGTCTCGCTTTCCAGCTGGCTTGTCGGTTCTCTTTGGCCATCTGACTTTCTCTCCTAGCCTTTCCAACGAGTTGATGAGCCCCGCAGTATTGACATTGAAGCAAAAGTCAGGGATAACTGGAGGTAGATCAGGATCGTCGAGCCAATGCGTCGTTGCCGCAACGGGTCGCTCTTCAGCTTTGGCATAAGGTTTGCCAGTTCGGTAGTCATGCCTCCTGGACGTACTGGACTTGCAGTGCCCCCCTTCGTAACCGTCAGCATGTGGTTGTGCCCGCAAATCCTCTTCTAACCTGATAAAGGCTAAGGTCATAGCCTGGACGTCTTCAAATGTGCGATAAGGAAACTTTGTCAACTCCCTGTACAACTCAGAATCATTCTTCAATCCCCTCTGGGATGCTTCGATTGTTGTAGGTATGTCACATCTTGAGATTGATACCTTTTCCTTGTTGAAACGATGAAGGTAGTCTCTCAAAGACTCGTCTCGCAGTTGGATAACACGGTATAGGTCACTCGTTTGCTTCTCCAGGGTGCGGCTGCTTGCAAATTGTTGTGTGAACGAGTCGACCAGTTTTGCGAACGAGTTGATCCCTTCGTTTGGTAGGTTGACGAACCAGGTCAAGGCTGGCCCTGAGAGCGTCGTTCCGAACCCACGACACATACATGCCTCTCTTTGGTCCGGGTTGAGCGCTACGGCTAACATGCGCTGTTTAAATTGAGCGACGTGTTCTACTGGGTCTGACATCCCGTCAAACATCTTCATGGCGGGGGAGACGAATTTCATGGGTATCTCGACGTTGGTGATATGTCGGCTGAAGGGAGACTCTGCATAACACATCCTCGACGCTATGTCCAATGGTGGGGGAACACCTGGTAGTCCGCTGATTTTATCCTGCATCTGACGCATTTGTTCCATCAACATGGACATCTGATCAGCCACAACCGGATGAAGCGGAACCGGGGATGAAGACGTCGGTCCAGCCAACGAGGTGAACTCATGACGTTGTTCAGGGAACGTCAGTGCTGGCATTGCGTCGGGTCTGTCGCGGCGTTGCGTCTGAGGTTCTAAAAATGACACACTGGGCCCATTCTGTCTGGCGTCCTGCATGAAACTTGATGGGCCGGCTTCTGCACCATTCCTGCTCCTGAAATGTGGGATTGACGGCTCTACTAGGACAAGGGTCACACCAGTTGACGGATTGGAGTTGGATGGACCGGGATCTCCGTTTGTTCTGCTCCTGTAATGGGGGATCGTTGGTTCCGTCAGTGTGGAGTACAGAGTCGTCGGCGGCAGGCTTGGAGTTGTTGCTTGCAATCCCGATCCATTTGCCCTGACCCGAAGAGATTCTGGGAAGAAACAAACCGGTATGTTGGCTGGTGGTGTCGTCGCTGGCACGAGTGGCGTATATGGGATGACTTGCGAGATGACGGGTGAGTGTGGTTCTCCAGCTGGTGTTGTCGACAGGCCCAACGTAAGAGATATTGGATCTGTCGACATTACGGCTAGATTCGTCGATGGTGGGGAGATGTTGAGATCCAACCTCGTTGCAGCGTTCATAAGATCAGTCCTCCGATTGGGCCTTGAGTTCGAGGCTATTGACACTGCAGATCGTACCTGGGACCGAAGTACATCGTTCTCCCGTTGAAGAAGGGCCATCCTTTCCGCCATCTCGTGCCGGAGCTCTTCTCGGACCGTCTCCAATTGTTCATGGAATTCAATTAACAATTGATTCGTTCCTTCCATATTTGAACTCTTTCTTGCACGAGGCCCCACGGTGGGCGCCAAATTGTTTAGGCAAGAAATAGATAACTTCCTCTAACAATTAAAATAAGGATCTGGGACTCTTGCAAAAGACGATGATATGAACTATTAATGCTTTGATATTGATAATTGAAATAATAACAAGAGATGAAAGTGTATTCGATGAAATCCGAAAGTGATAACTAGTAGTAAGGCCGATAGGAATGACCGTTCTTCCTCTACAAGTGATATATTTAAACTAATTTCTCCCTCCTATTCTTGAGCCAACTGCCCACCTTATTCGCGGGGATGATTTTGAACGTGCCTTGATCTTTTCTTTCTACCCAAGTATTACTCGAGTCATGCTTATCCCTTTAGTCTCCATGATCCACCTCTACATTTGACTTTTGCTTATTCCATTGGGCTTGCTCCACATTCGTTTGTTATTCTTGGGCTAGGCTGTTATCACGCACCAACAATATATATATATATATATATATATATATATATATATATATATATATATATATATATATATACTTGGTAATACATATATTGTTGTCCGCACTTGCTCATTCTTTAGTCAAGTCTAGTTCTCATATTAATAGCTTTAATATTTTTTATTGACTCTAGTCTAGTATCAAATGTTAGAGGTTCTTTAACTTTATAGTTTTAGGGTACCCCGATTGTACTAGAACTACTGCTTAAACTTGTTTAGGGGTAATGTCACGCCCCGGACCTACTCGGACACGTCAACAACCCGCCGTACAATACGAATAGTCAACCGCAGTCCAACACATTCATATTATACAAGGCGTCTTAAATATCATTCACACATATAACATCCATAAACAATCATAAGTAATTCATAGTGCAGCGGAAACATTGTTTAAAATAAAATGGCCACACAGGGCTAATCATGAGCACGCAGGCCCTAAAGTAAAATATCCATGAGCAATTTATTAATGTTTCAAATGGAATGGAGAAAGCACGAACCAAGTCTTCTCTCCGAGGAATCACTCAATCAACGAGCACAGGATGCAAGCTCTAGCCTCAACCTGAAATGGTGGTGGGACGCCCCCGAAGGGGTCAGTACTCTATACGGCTATAAAGTACTGGTGTGGCAGGCATCTAATAGATATACAACAAGTATTTCAAACACAAGACCCTCAAATAGGGTGATAGTACATTATGATTGTAATCCTAAGTTACCTCGTTTGAAAATATACTTACTTTATATAAAAGTCAAGTAGTCGGCCTGTGGGCCCATGTTCATTTAGAATTCACCATTCCCATTCCCCATGACTATAAGCCACGACAACTCATAGAGTCCAACCCTAACACATGACATTGTATTCTAGAGCTCAGCTCTACCACATCACCATACAATTCATGTCACTTGGGTCACTTTCCTTACCTTGCGTTCTAGAGCTCGGCTAGTTCGGCTCTATCACATCACCACGCAAGCCCTAGAGCTCGGCTCTAGTTATACCATACATAAACTACAAGTCTAACACCTTACCATGCATTCTAGAGCTCGGCTCTATCACATCACCATGCACCAAGGTCCAATTCTTAAACAACCCTATGCCTAGAATTGACATATCAATAAACTACCATGGGACATCCTTAAAGACTTCCCATAACTTAACCTTAGTTTCATACTAAGTCATTATATACACTTAAAGTGTATTCAAGTGCATTTCATACAATCCAATCCCTAGGATCAATTCCAACAACAATTTCCAATAATCACTAACTAGTATTTCAATACTATTAAGATTATTGTTATCATACAAGTATTCTCATTTTGTAATTTCCTACATATTTATATTATGTAGCAGCAACTTAAATATTCAATATCAATACATAAATATTCATTTATGTATCCTCATATTTCATACATGAGTAAAATGCCTATTTCACAAAATAGTTCATTTATATGCTTTTTCAGTAGGTTAATATTCTGAATTTTAACCATATGGTAGTGCCAATGATGGACTTTTCCAAAATGGTTGTTTAATTTTTCTCTAAAACCGAATCAAATTTAACACTTTTAATTCCACCCTGCAAGAGCAATTCAGAGTAACATACCAAATAACCTATTTGCGTCTAAGTTGAGAGCTCTCTGTTGGAATTTTACACTTTTAATGCCACCATCATATTAATATATAAAAAATTATATTAATTAACTTCTAGAATTATGTTGTATTAACTATGGGACCAAGATAAAATTTGGGCACTGCATGGATCCCTTACTTGGTATAAAATCTTCATTATTTTTCAAATGGATATAGGCATATTCATACTCAATATAAAATTCCCGAATAAGTTTCAAATGTATAAATATATATCCTGTGCAAGATTTAATACTTTATATATTTTAGGGTTGCTTATCTTTTAATGTAAAACTACGATTTTTTCAAATGATTTCAATTGACTTTTGAATCAATCTGTTCTCCCGTGCAACGCACGGGTAAAAGACTAGTATAGTATCAAACAAACTTGGTGACACAGACAGAAAAGGATAAAATGAGACAAAGATAAGGGGACCAAGGGAGTAATATTCGTGTCAAACCCATACTTTTTTCACAAAGTAGGCTTCACATCATATTTGTATTAATCCATGCTTATTAATTCCGTATTAACACATGACCCCGTATTAGGGCAATTAGTTCCGAGCATACAATTGCAATAATCAGCACAAGTGCCTATTAATTCCCAGCAATCATCCATACTTCCGAATCTTCCCATGTTCACCTGGATACACAACTTATCACATTTGTCAAACGTTGTGTGGCATTTCTCTGAAGATACTCCATGCACCAATATTAATGTCAAAATAAATATTTTCACCAAAACCATCACAATACTCTTATGCGAAATCTCACTTTTTGGCCTGTTCCAACCAACAAGAATAATCTTTGATGAGAGCCATATTAATTAAAAGAATGTCTATCGAGTTTGTAAAAATTTACAACAATTGAATCATTATTAAAATGCCAAAATTTATTACTACTCCGATCCGTATTTTTTTCTGAGTTATGCTTCGCAATAAAAAACCATGAAATAATACAATTAGGGCTGGACTCGGGCCGGGCGGCCCGACCCGGGACCGAACCGGCCCGGTCACTGTTTGGCCCGGCCCGGCCCGTGGCCCGGTGGGTCCACCGGTTCGGTTTGGCCCGGCCCGGGTGCTGGGCGGTCCGGGCTCGGGCCCAAGTTTTGGTGAACCGGCCCGGCCGGTTCGGACCCGGTCCGGGCCAGATTTTAATTTTTTTTTTTTGAATTTTTTTTAAGTTTTAGGTTGGATTAGGTATTTTGGGCCATTTGAGGTGGTTTGGGATGGTTTGGGGTTGAGGGGGAGGGGTAGGGGATTAAATAGGAGAACAAAAAAAATTAATTGGGCCGGTTTGGCCCGGAACCGGAACCGGAACCGGCCACCGGCGGTTCGGGCTCGGGCCTCCCCTTTCCTGGCCCGAGGCCCGGCCGGGCCCAGGCCCGAACCGGCCCGAGTCCAGCCCTAAATACAATACTAAATTGTTTGGGTATACCCACATTAAAAAGTCACTTCGTTTTCAAAGGCAAAGAACAAAATGTTTGATAAAAATGACCTTCAAATAAATATATACGTTTGGGTTCAATTTTCATTCTTAATAAAACATCATCAATGCTGAACACAGTAAGATAGGTATTCAAATGTATATTATAAAATGAACATATGTGTGTAATGTAACTATATATAAAGAGTATACCAAATAGAAAGCCTAAGTGACATTGGACCTTAAAATCTCATAATATTTTTATCAGGGATGTCTTTCTTGCTCACAACTATATAAGATGGGCCTGTGTAAGAAAAAACACATACACTTATAGACAAATTTCCCTAAACATGATGACAAAAGAATGTGGTTAAATATAATTTCCCAAAGTAGACATTAATGAATGATTTGTACGAAACACTATGATGAGAGTTAATTAATCAAGCTCGATTGAATTGAACGTGCAATACATTGAGCTGACTAAGATTAAAATACACGTTAATGAATGGTTTGTATGAACCACTATGTTGCTAAGCATGTTATATATGTAATTTCACATTGACAAAAAGGGCTAAAATATACAAGGTCTTTCACTATTTATCCTATCTGTTGACATTATATATGCATATATAGAGACAATAATAGTAGTGCAAAATTGTCTTTATTATTCATGAAATATCAATTTCAACTAGTGTTAAGATAAAAAAACAATTACAACCTTAGTTGGTAACCTAGCATGTTAAAATGCTTTATTTTTGTCTCAGAGGTCCGGGAAGATGCACTTCTTACTCTATTCTTGCAAACGCACACACATATATCCATTCAAATTATAGGGAAACGCTTGATACATTGTTACTCTATAACTTACAAAATTAAATGAAGATTAAGATAGATGAATTTGAATTAAATGCATTCAATGTATATATTGTAGTATTTCTCTTTTGATTAATTAATATATGCATTTTGTCACTTAAAAGTTAAAAATGTATAGTGGGGTAAACAGCGAATAGTTTTCAATCTTAACCTTGACAAATTTGTAAGACCTCATAATTTCTTCAAAAATAAAATTTTATCAATATAAAATACTAAAAACATTAAAATCTAAAAATCAAAATATAATATTAAAAATCAAAATATAATATCTTCATCCAAATTTGATTGTACCCAGTTCTTATTCATTTGATCAACTCAAATCACTCTTTAATCTCTTATTTTATGTATCAAATTTGACCAAGGTGTTTGCGACTTTATAAAGTTTTTAATGTAGTTTCTGAATTTGTAATTTTTTTCTAAAAATAATTTGAGTGCGAATAGGAATCTGTTTGCTTTATCGTCAGTCAAACTTCGTAAACAACAATGGTATCATTAATTTGGGACGGATGTAGTATATATTTAATTGCAAAAACATTTCAAAATGTAGAATATAAAAGAATTCCAAAAGTCACAACTTTATTTAGATTTTACGGAGTATATTTTAAAAGTTTGCTTCACTTTAGAGTATATTTATGTAGAGTATATTTTAGATTATAGAATTACTTTTAAATCTTTCTTTTTAACATTTGACATGATTGTGAAAAATCTTTGTCAAATGTTAAAAAGAAAGATTTAAAAGTAATTCTATAATCTATATCAGCCATGGTGTCGGAAAGGAGAAGTGCATTATCTATTGATTTGGCTTGTACCCAGTTCTTATTCATTTGATCAACTCAAATCACTCTTTAATCTCTTATTTTATGTATCAAATTTGACCAAGGTGTTTGCGACTTTATAAAGTTTTTAATGTAGTTTCTGAATTTGTAATTTTTTTCTAAAAATAATTTGAGTGCGAATAGGGATCTGTTTGCTTTATCGTCAGTCAAACTTCGTAAACAACAATGGTATCATTAATTTGGGACGGATGTAGTATATATTTAATTGCAAAAACATTTCAAAATGTAGAATATAAAAGAATTCCAAAAGTCACAACTTTATTTAGATTTTACGGAGTATATTTTAAAAGTTTGCTTCACTTTAGAGTATATTTATGTAGAGTATATTTTAGATTATAGAATTACTTTTAAATCTTTCTTTTTAACATTTGACATGATTGTGAAAAATCTTTGTCAAATGTTAAAAAGAAAGATTTAAAAGTAATTCTATAATCTATATCAGCCATGGTGTCGGAAAGGAGAAGTGCATTATCTATTGATTTGGCTTTTAGAATGGCTACACACAAAAACAAAAAGGGGGGGAAATGGGGAGCTCAGATATAACGGGTGACAATAATCAATAAGTAAGCTTCCGTGTCTAATTAAATCATTCAAAAACTGTGTTAAATGTGTCTAATAAAGTTTGACAATTTTATTAAAAACAAATGTGTCATTGTGTGTCTAAAAAATAGTTCAATTTCGTAAACTTGGTAACTGACACAGACTCAGGGTTACAGGCATACGGCCTGACGCACGGCCCGACGCACGGGTCAGGCACGGCCCGACGCACGGGTCAGGCACGGCCCGACGCACGGGTTCAGGCACGGCCCGACGCACGGGTTCAGGCACGGCCCGACGCACGGGTTCAGGCACGGCCCGACGCACGGGTTCAGGCACGGCCCGACGCACGGGTTCAGGCACGGCCCGACGCACGGGTTCAGGCACGGCCCGACGCACGGGTTCAGGCACGGCCCGACGCACGGGTTCAGGCACGGCCCGACGCACGGGTTCAGGCACGGCCCGACGCACGGGTTCAGGCACGGCCCGACGCACGGGTTCAGGCACGGCCGACGCACGGGTTCAGGCACGGCCCGACGCACGGGTTCAGGCACGGCCCGACGCACGGGTTCAGGCACGGCCCGACGCACGGGTTCAGGCACGGCCCGACGCACGGGTTCAGGCACGGCCCGACGCACGGGTTCAGGCACGGCCCGACGCACGGGTTCAGGCACGGGTTCAGGCACGGGTTCAGGCACGGGTTCAGGCACGGGTTCAGGCACGGGTTCAGGCACGGGTTCAGGCACGGGTTCAGGCACGGGTTCAGGCACGGGTTCAGGCACGGGTTCAGGCACGGGTGTTCACAAAAACTTGGTTCCATAAAATCAACAATTTCAACATAAATTCCGTGGTGTAACTAATGTCAAATTCAATGTGGAATAAAGTGAAACTATTATCAAAAAGATAGATTCAATTAACATAACCTCCTATCATTGTACTTATGACAAAACAAAGCATCAACGGGAAACTATGTCAAAAAAAACAATAAACATAAACTGATTTAAATAAATGATAGATAGTCTTCATCCAGCCATTTGTTTTCAATGAACCGGGATGTTTGGTCTGTCACAGAACAAAAAAATTCACCACACAGACAAAACTTGACACGAACAAGTGTATAAGAACCTGTACAAATAAAATTTCTCAATATATATTCAAATCATCCTCGGCAGAGTTGCCAAAATTTCAAATACCCCTACCCCAATACAAATCTAAGGAAACAATAATTATCAATTCAAATTAATCTACAAATCTAACGAAACCTTATATTTTTAAAATTTTATTTCACATTAAACTATTTTATTAACAATTCAAATTCAAAAAGGATGCAGCAATGAAACAAATGTTTTTGCCTCAGAGGTAGTGCCAATTCTTTTTGTGTCATCATCATATTATTATCTGATAATAAATATAATATGAAATGCATCATTGGCAATTTAATGGTGATAAATTCAGCATTTTGAATAAAATGGTCACTACACAGCCTACTGAAATCTGTGAAACCATTTGGATTGAAAAAATTATGATTTATCAATGAATGTTTGTAATGAAGTCAAGAAAACCATAAAAGCTTAAAGCCATTGACAAACAAAATCTATATCCGGGTAATGTTAACCAAATCTGGGGTCTATATACATTTATGCACAACTGTAAACCGCAAATTTGCAGAAATTTAACAAACACAGGGCACCACTCCGTGGCGTAATGCTGTTTTAAAGTTGCATGAAAATAAGTACAGAATATGAATTTGGACAATAAAATATAGACGGATCAGAATATCTGGCTTGGAATTCTCCTTGAGAGAAAACACAAAGTGCGCCAAGTTATTTCAACTTCGTTCAACTGGGGAAATAATCATCACACCTGTCTCTATCATAATTGTAATTTGTAAACACAAGTATTGTTATAACCACCCTAAATACTTACAGATCTAATTAGACTATGAAAAAACAACAAAAGCAAGAGTAATAAGATAGATCAGGATTGTACAATATTGCGTCACAGCATTCTCAACGGAAACAGACAAATGATGCCATCGGGATGAGTTAGACGCCGACTGCCGGAAAAACAATAAAAAAACGCGAGCACTCAGAATGAGTAGGAGGTTTTTATCATCCCATATTCAGAATATGTTTATGTTCTTCATCGTGCTCGTCTTCAACCAACTGAATCCGAAATAGATCTTTAGAACAGATCGAAAGCTGTATAAAACGAAGTAAAATAAAAACACTTGATTTATATATACCATCAGATGTTTGGATCACTGCATCACTGGATCAGACGACCATCGTGAGAAAATTAAACCAAGTTCATCACACGGCACCAGAAATTTAAACTACAATCTAAGACCAACTCCACATTACAGAACAAGGCCGTAGGATTTAACTAGGGTTCCAACTTCCAAGCTCACAGAAGCCAACCAGACGAGAGAAAGAAGAGGATAGTCTGTGAGAAGGGTAAAGTGGGCGAAGGAGAATTATATATTGAAGGGTTACGGCTGGAAAGGTAGGTTACATGGATGGATGGGCTGGTGCTTACTTATTGGGCACTAGGTCGTGAAATGTGCCCCACTTCAATTTATTGAGTAATGGCCCAATATGTTCTAGCATGTGTGTGAAGTGGGTCATCATATTTACAATTGCAAAATTATTATTAAAACTAACTACTAAACTTAGTTTTAGTAGTTAACTAGTGTAACACCCGGGGCACCCGGTGGTGTCACTCTCATAAATATTCAATTACTTTACTATTTAACATGAGTTTTTTATACGAAATTAACTAATCTCTACAATTTTTTACTTACTACTCCGGATGCCGTCAGGGCGTCAGGGGGAAGGGATTTGGGGGGTCTGGGGTAAACAGAGATCAATCTCACTCCATTGAGAATTGAATCTGGGACCTCCCATAAGGGAGAGTGAGGCGGCGACCAGCTGGGCTGCACCGCTTCCTCTTACTTACTATATAAATATATTAATCATTTTGTTCTTTAAAATTTGAGAAATGTTTTATATATTACTCTTAATTCAAAAGGTTTAGGTGAAATTTTGTAATATTGATCATCATTTTTTTGCAAATACATGATAAGTATAGTACTCCATGATATCTATTTTATGAAAAATTATGTAAAAATGGTTTTTTTTTCATTTGTGTAGATTTAATTTGATTTTAAAATATATATTATTATTACTATCTGGTGGAGTTAAATCCAACTACGAGAGCTAAATATACGTAAGTATGAGAATAATATGGCAGTGTAAGGCAGTTTTTTCTCTTTATTCCGGAGAACTAGCAACTGTCTAGCCTCGCTTCAGAATTTGATCGGGGGTCCCCCTATTGGGTGTTTACATTCAATATTTATAGATCTTGGGAGATAGTATTTTAAGAGGAACCTATTACAATTAATGCTTCATTAATGAACTATATTTTTGCTCGAAATAGAACTCATTCGATGCTTGATTCACACACGATTGCTTTCTCCTTTTAGTCGTTGTCTTTCGGATGAGTTCTGCCTGTTGCCAAATATCTATCAACGAATGATAGCCCATCATGTAAGGATTGTAAGCCCTAGGAACATCCCGGCC